CAGAGATGTCTCCTGAGGCATTCCCAGGTCCTGTTTCGGCAGCCCTACTGTTGCCCTTTGGCTTCTCATGGCGAGGGGGACATCCTGGTCAGTGAGCCACATGCATGGTTCACATAAACCTTCTTTGACCTCATCCGTGACCAGAGCTCAGCTCTGTTTGGTCCCCTGATGCAGCCGCAGGTCCATGGCTAGGGCCTCTGCTGCAGCAGCTCTGCCCTGGCCGCGTCTCCCCAGCATAGACTCAGGAGCTGGTTTAAGGCAACGTTAATCCACAGCAAGTCCACCGCTGTGGGACCCCAAAGCAGACCCACGTGCAGCAGGAACCATCTTCCAGAGGCTTGTGGTAATGTTACTTGTTAGTGCTCCAAGTATGTGCTGAAGTTAAGTGAATTAGCTTGGATCATTGAAGGCTAACACTGTATTTGAGTCACATGTGTGGTGATAAACTCGGGGAAATGCCTTGGTTTAAAAAAAAAAAAGTGGAAAAAACATGTGTAAATGGCTGAATTGGGTCTAATTCTTTTTCTGTTGGTGCCTTTCTTCTCAAGTGGTGTGCTTGCTTCTTGTGTTGCTCCTGGGTGTGATGCTAGTGGCCTGGAATTGGTCTATCATAACTCATAAGGCCTCTTTAATGAGTAATAAGAGTTAATGAATGCCCGTTTTGGTGCATGTGAGGATAAGAATATTTATCCATATATGTGTTTCTTTGTCAGTATTAGCTGCCACTCAGCGTCCACTCATTCAACAGTGTGAGAGGTTTCTGCAACACCTGCAGTCAGCTTTCAGTTTTGCTGTACCGAATAGTCTAGAATCAACAAACTTTATCCTTTTGCTCTGTTTCTTCTTTTCCAGCCCATTTATAGGTATGCCTTTCTGTTCCTGCAGCACCATGTGTTCACTGATGTTACACTTCTTGATTATCTTGATTACACCGAGTTTTTGATATTCTTAAATCAAAATCCTTAATTGCAAATCAGATCTACAGCATCTTACTACAGCATCTTACAGTTGTGATGTTAGGGTATGGCATCTCATACAAGAAGCAGATGGAGTAGATCTGCACGCACAGCTTGCCCAGATTCAAGGTGGGTCTCAAGAGTATTCATCATACTTGGATGTCACTTGAGAACAAAGCTGATCAAATTGAGGAGAGGATCTGATACCTTCTTTTTTTTTTTTTTTTTCCTCAAAGAAGTCTCCAATTGTGCATCATAGATGATGTGAGAAAGGAGTAATACCTGAGTGAATTTCTCAGGAAATTCAGGAATATCTCAGCACTGGCAAGGGAATCATTCCTTCCAGGCAGCTCTGCCAAGGGGCTGATGTTATCCAAGATCTACTCAACCTTTGGCCTCCCCTTTCACTGCCACCCAGCAAACATTGAAGTTTCCCACCCTTGAGAAATGAAATGCTGCAGATTGAAAAATCCCACCTTTGTAGCCCAGCCAGATATTGAGCTAGTGACCTAGAGTTAAACCTCCTTTCATTCCTGCTCCTAATCCAACCAGTACGTGCACATCTGACAACTGGAAATGAACCAAAACTATGAATGTTGTGTTATTGTCCAGACATCTTCTGGGAGCATGTGCCAAGGCTTTTTGGGCTAGTTAGTGATAACCTGAAGAACTGCTGCTCTGGCTGTTCTCCCAGGCAACAAGGTGAGACCCTGGTGCAGTGTGAAGCAGGTGGCCCAGGTTTGCCCCATCCTACACCCATCCTTGAAGTCAGTGAGGCCATGAGGATGAGGAAGGGGCTTAGATGGGACTTGGGCTGCAGAGTTGCTCTGCCTCAGACCAGGATACAAACCCAGCAGCCGCAGACAGTGGGTTTGTGATGGCTGGTGCAGCTCCGAGGGCCATCTCCATCCAGGCAGGTGTCATCCAGGCTGAGCAGATGCTCTTTGCCTGCTGAGCTGTGAGACTTTTTGTAAGAGTGCTGTTGTTTGAACCAAATGAGAGAGAGTTTTAAAAACTATGTTGAAGCGAGATGAGGAGTAATACTGTTTCTTGAAGTGAGAAATTGTGCTGTTTTGCCTCCTAAAGGCTGAATTGAGGCAATTCAGTATTAAAAAAAAAAAAAAAAAAAAAAAGAGAATCCAGAAGGATTCTTGCACTTTTGGGCAGATTTTCCAATAACTTGCGTAAACCTGGATCCTTTTTTTCTGGCAAAAACACTATCCAGATGAAACATGCTGCCTGTCCTCAGCTGTAATTTGCTGCCTGTTTGAGTCCCCAGAGGTTTAGAGGTCTGTGTCCTTGGCCTTTTTGGACAGAGTGCATTTACAGCTAGAGTTTAAGTCCTGAGCTGCTGCTAAATGTTCCCTGGCTTAAACTAGCTAAAAACCTAGAGTTTTGATCTCAACCACCTGGATTTCAGGTCATAAAACATGGCCTGCAGCGTGCCAAATGGTGGGTGGATTTAAGCTTTCAGGGTGGTGAAGTAGTAGAAATACGGATCAAATGGGGCACAGGTGTTCAGGGTACACAAGCACGCAGATGTACACACCCCTTCCATACCAATCTCAACTTACAGTGGCATATTTCTGCGAAATCAGGGGCAAAATTAACTTTCGGATTCTTGACTGATAATGAAGTTCTGCAGGTGGAATAAATAGGGTGCAGTAATTATTTTACAGCTGTACTTAACTGAGAAATTCATTTTGATCTTGGAGGAAGCAGTTCTTCCTTTGGACTTTGCTGATGGCAGAAGCTCCACCACGTATGCTTGACGGGTCTTGAGGATGAGTTGCTGTTTGTTTTATGACCAGGACAGCCATCTGTTTTGTAGTACTTGAAGACAGCTGAATTCTCACAAGTTCTTTGGGAATGCAGAGCTGCTTGTGGATGGCTCGGAGCCTTGATTTTTACCTGTAGACAGGATGTTACTCCCTGTCACTGCCTGCACTGAGTGGTGATGGATATACATGCTTGAAGGAGGGAAAAAACAAAAACAAAAAACCAGCCTGGGCTGGAATTGGAAAGGTTTGATTGAACTATTTCATCATTCAAAGATGAACCAGCACTGATGGAAAAGAAACCTGCCATCACTGCCTTACTGGTGAGTATGTGCTTTTTTCCTGGCTGATTTAACAACCCGCTGCAAGCCCTTGCTGGGAGCTCAGCACCAATTTCAAGCAAGAAATGAGAAGCAGTAGAACCTGATGGAGGCTGCGTGTCCTCTTTGTCAAGCAAGGAGACCTGCATGCATGGCCCTGTGTCAGAGGAGCTCCCGCTGTGGATGCTCAAGCCCAAAGCACCTCTCGGGGCTAGCAGGGCTTCTGGCACAGCCCTGGTTTCACACCACATGTTCATATTGCTTTTACTTTCGCATATACAGAGCCATGACAATTTTTTTCATGTATTTTATGTGAGATGCTCTGGTTGTGCTTGGCTTGCTTATGCCGATAGTTCTGTTGGGGAGAAAGGGGTTAGGCTGCTTAATGCTCCCTTGTACTCCAAGTAAAGGTTCCGTGCAGCCTGCATTGGTATGTAAACCTGAATGTGCTGAGATTTTGAAAACAGCCTCTTGTTTTGATTGCCAGATTTTAAAAAAGAGGGACTGCATTTTCTCAAGGTTCAAGCCAGAGTAGCTTTCCATCAGAAGCAGAGCTTGTGTTGTCCCTGTGAGGCATCACCACGTAAGTACACTGAAGGGGAATAGATGGTTTGAAGGAGAATTCAGTTCCTTTATAAGAAAATGCCAAATGGAGTGTCACACCACGTTTATGAGTTTGCTCCTAAGCATTAATTTACTTCAAAGTCTGTAGCATGGGTAGAGGTTTGTTAGCTTTGCAGATTGCAGTAGTTGTATCCTTGCTAATGAGGCCACAAGTCTAACATAAGCAGAGGACTCCCGGCAGCATCCCTCAAAAGGTACTTTTAGACACCTTGGAGAAGTGCCAAACATCAGCGAGAGCATATTTACACTTAATGAGGACTCATCATCAGAGAAAGCCAGGACAGGCAAAGTGCTTCCTGTGTAGACAGGGCTATATTCTCATTTGGTAGAAGCAAAATCATCTCCTGTGAACACAACAAGGGCACTTTTGCTTTTATAACTGAGGATACTGGGGACTGCCAGCTGGAGATCCCATCTCCTCACCCGCTCCTCTCTTCCCTTCCCTGGCTGGATGGGTGACATCGGTCCGGTCTCTCTGATGAGTGTTGCAGTTTGCTTGTGGCTGCCCAAAGCATGACAAAATTAGAAGTTTCTGAGTCTTCCTTGGAGGAGGGAAAAGGGCAGATATTCTGGCAAAGGATGTGTTTGTGGGGCATAGAAAATATCCCCTCCTAGCATGGGTGCTCATGTGTTCGGGTAAGTGTGTTAAAGGGTGCTGAGTGTCTGCCCAGCTGTGGCACTGTGTTAACACACGTGCCAGCACATTGCAGGGCAATACTGCATATTCTGCTGTGGACACTTGTGTGGACTGAAAATCAAGGCAAGTGCATACACATAAGTTTAAGACCAAGTAAATGTGAATGAGACCAAAAGCAAGGAGTAAATGTCCTGGGATATTCTTCTTCCAAATTGTTCAGTTCTACCCCCAACTCAAACTGGACTGCATATCACAAACATCAGTTGCTTTGTCTTTATTTCATTGTTTCCAGTCCTCGTACAACTACTAATCAAGCTTTACTGCTTTAAAAAGAACAGACTACAGCCATTCACAAAAGAACATAATTCTTAACTCTGTGAGACACCAAATACCATTAAAAACCATGGCCTTATTATAGACTTTCATTATTGATGGCTACTCGAGGAGATAATACACTATAAAATATAAAGATAAAAAGCAAAAGACTATTTAGATAGATGTTCAGCTGAGTGTTACTAACATCAAATCAGTGGCACTGAAGGAAATGAGAAGAGACGTGGCAGAGCCTCTGGATTAAACGTGTGCCCATTACGACCTGCTAAGGCCTTGCCTTTACAATGTGCACTTTAAATCAAAGCAACATTGAAGTCAATATTCATTGTTCTTGGGAGATATATTTTTGTTTTCAGGCACTGCTGTTTCCCAAAGGAGCATGACCAAGAATATATGTCTCTGTGCAGTGCTGACTGCTCATGGAGAGGGATCTCCCTGAAATTCTCTGGAATCGGTTCCTCCTTTGGAAGTACCCACTGCTGCTGCTAAGAGACCGCTGTCTGTTCTTCAAGTATTCCCGGTAGTTTTTGGTGAGCAGGGTGTAAAGGAAAGGGTTGATACAGCTGTTGCTGTAGGTTAAGCAGGTTGTCAGATAATTAATGTTCTTCATAACCTTGGGAGATAATGGTAAAGATTCATAATACTGGAAGAGGAGCTGCCATATCCAGAAAGGCAAGAAGCAAGCCCAGAAAACCAGCACAATAGTGAAGATTAAATAGAGCACCTTCTGATTTGGCAGCCGGTTGGTCTGCTTGAATGATGCTGTTTGCGACACCCAGTAGATTTTAGCTAATCTGATATAGAGATGGCCAATGATTACCCCTGGGCCCACAATGCTCGTACCAAAAAGGATGGTGAGATAAACTTTGTAGGAGAGCTTGCTCCAGGTGGGCAGGCAAATACTTTTGTTGTCTCTTTGCACCAGCTGGATCATGATGAGCATTGGAAGGGTGAGCAGCAGTGACACGAGCCAGATGACAACAGCAATGGCTTTTCGGTAGCTCTTGGATCTCTTCACCGTGTCCAGGGGCTTCAGCACGGCGAAGTAACGCTCTGTGCTCATGACTGTGAGGGTGAAGATGCTGGCATGCATGGTGAGAAAGTCCAGACTGAAGAGGATGCGGCAGCCAATGTCCCCGAAGTACCATTTCTGAATGAAGTAGGTTCCAACAATGAAGGGGATGGTGAGAAGATAGAGCAGGTCTGCCAGTGCAAGGTTGATGATGTAAATGTACATGGAAGCAGATGATCGCAGGTAATGGCACATCACGAGCAAGGTGTAGACATTGCCTGTCACCCCAATCACACACATAAGGGAGAGGATTGTCCCGATGGTGCATATGGCGATCATGTCCTCCATGGAACTGGTGGCTGGAGGGCCATCCCAGGTGGCATTGATGGAGGTATTGGTTCTGATCTTAAGCAGGCTGCCATCACTTGTGTCTGTGATCGTGAAAGGAGTTGCTGAAAAGTGGATCTCCAGCTCATCGATTAGGGACATCCTTCTTGCTTTTTAATGCTGGATATTCTGTTCATGCCACAGGGGTCTGCAGATCTGTTTTTCCTGTTTCGAGAAATGTGATCTCTGCTGGGATCTGGTAAATCATTTCTTAGCGGGTTCTCACCCAAAGATGATTCTGCTTTCTCTACTAAAGACATCAGAAAATAGCATATTAGAAGATTAGCATATTAGACTGGTAGAGCAACAGAATTTATCATTCAGAAGTCATCTATCCTGAGTACATATCCGCACTGCCTGCAGGTACCAAGAGTCTTCTGCATTGAGGCTCCTCAACACAAAGGTTATGCTACCTTATGCCAGGTTCTACCTGGTTATGTCAGGTTTCAGGACTGGAACCTCTTGCTGCAATCCTCAAATTTAGTTTGTGGTTGGGAAGAAAAAAAAGCCTTCCTAAATTCATTGATTCATTGATAAATATTTTGGATACTTATCAGTAGGATTACTTAAACCATGGTGACCTGGCATTGACTAAGATCTTAATAACAAGGAGTCCACAACACCAGAAAAGGGAACGCAAACCTTGACATGCCATTTTCATCCAAATTGATGTCTCTTTTCTTTCAGTGACCCACTCAAAGTCTTGCCCAGCACATCTGCAAAGTTTCCACAGAGCAACTTTCCTTGAATAAGCTCCTGCTAAGTCTCATCCTGCAGTTTCAAACTGTAGAGAAGTGGTGGAGAACAAACCTATTTTCAATCTATATAGCAAGCTGCGCCATATGCATATGAACTGTTTTTTTTCATGCTCTCTCATGTGAACCCCCAGATATTCACATATATCCATGCATACATACGTTTCCAACAATTTTGTCTGTGAAGATGCCTAAATAGCCCTATGCGGAGAATTGTGTGCTTGCTCTGCAGCATTTAGGGCAAGTGATAGCCCTTTTATGCTGGAGCTATTGGTTAGCTCAAGCTTAACCCTATACACTGGCTCTGTGTGTTGGCAAAGGGAGATCAGACCTACCTGAGAAAAATACTAAAGAGGTACCTAATAAGCTAGAATTTTAAGGTGCAGCACAGGTTTGTGCCAACCTGCACATCTATCGGCTTTTGTACTATATGCTTTATGGAGCTCAGATTGTCTGTTCTTATGGGGAAGTTCTGCAAGAAGGGGTCCTGACTGCCAGCGCTCAGCAGGCAAAGATTTCCCAATGCCCCATTCTGCTGGCCAGGTTGGGTTTGTTTTATTATGGAAATTAGGCATTTTGCAGCTTTTTCCAATTAATTCAGTATCCCTTTTGCACCCACATCAACTCCAACCTGTGTGCCCTTCCTCCCACTTGCTGCTTGGCAGCAGAGTTACAGCACGAGGCTCTGTTCTGTCCATATACCATATGACCATATACCATTCTGACCATATACCCTGACAGAGGGTATATGGTACCATATGACCATATACCATTCTGACCATATACCGTGACAGAGTAACCACTACAGCTACAGACCGGACAATGTTCATCCTCTTCACGACTTCCCCTCATCTCCCTTCCCCATTACAACCTGCTGTGGTTGGCTCGTGCTGTAGACACATTATGCAAAGAGTCTGTACAAAAGGGCACAATCCAGCCCGCAGGGGTTTCTCCCTGCTTAGCAATTGGTAGAGGGCTGCACAGAACCCATCCCACCATCCCTTTGAGTGGAAACATCCAAAAGGTAAAGGCTGAACACAGTCCTCGAGTGGACAGTGCTCCTTCTGTGAGCACTTTCTCCTGATTTCAGCTTTGACACTTGCATCTCAGCTATTCCGGACCTTGTAAAACCAAACTGCTTCCTCCCTGGCCATGTGAGCAGTGGTGTCCCTTGCAGCTCTGCCTTTGGGCATGTGCTGCCAGCCTCTCCATGCACCACCTTGCTCCCTCGGTACTCTCTGTGACACTGGGCTTCCTCATTCGCATACAGACTGTGCTGGCAGCCGAGGCGCTGCCCGTGAAGGAGCCGCAGATGCTTGCAGGCTCTGCCTGCTCCTCTGCCTTCTGCCTGCTGCTTCGGAAAGGAAGGGCTCTGCACGGGACGCTCCGGCTAAGCCCAGTGCAGGTCGCACATGCTGCTCTTGAGTGCAGCTGGCTTCATGCTAGCTTGTTTCCAGGAGCATGTTTTCATGCATCAGGAGCTCATCTATTGCAGCTGCCCTGATGGCACTCTGGGCGCTGTGAAGAAGGGCAGATCTGTCTTGTGCCTGGGCACATTTGTGCCCACCCCAGGGTGACAGCTTGTGCCTGAGAGAGCTCAGCACACCACATCTCCCCGCTCTTCTCTTCCACTGAGCCCGCGTTTCACTTAATGCATCAAATTGCCACAGCCTCTAAGTTCATTCAAATGCTTCACCTGTCTCGAAACAAAGCCTGCAGCTAGGCAGGTCCTCAGTCCTCCAGCAGAGAAATTAAATACAATGAGGAGACCCTGCATTGTTTTAATGCTACAGCCCTCCCTGCACCCATGCATAAATGCATATACTCACACACATGCACACGCACACAGTAAACAGCTTGTTATCCCAAGCAGCAGTTTAAAGCATCTTATGGTCTAAACATTTTTCTCAGCCATTCCTACCTCTTGCTCTACCGTATCGCCACACAAAGGTACCATGCACATCCATTAAGCTACAAACAGAAAGGAATACATCCTGCTCAAACCTTGCTCTTAAATCCAGCAGAGGAAGTTTCTTACAAAAAATAAAAAAAGATGATTTTAAAAAGGACTTAAAACTGTAACTGAAAAAAAAAGAAAAACAGATAAAAGAGAATTCTTCATAGAAAGATAGTGAGAGATCCCTGGTGCTCTGTCGCATCTGGAAAGGCAGTGGCAAGAAATGTGCGTGCTACCTCGCCAAGTATGTTTGAAATCTGTGCGCTCTTAATACTCTCATTCTCCTCCCTTAACTCACGCCTGCTATTTCTGTTTCTCAGTGACGTGAGGCATAGCGTGGCTTTGACTGCAGCCAGAGAAGATCCTTTTTAAAGCAGCAGCGTTTTGACAGCTGGGGCTCACTTTGCCAGCTTGCCTGGTCTGGCCATGAGCCAGCTGTAAATGCAACATGTCACTGCTCTTTCCATCCCAGGACCTGTGATATGGAAAGCTGGCCAGCCCCTCCTTGCATTGCACAGAAGAGTAGGAATGTTTAATGTTGCCTGATCAAAACAGTTGTGTTGGGGAAGAGGTCGTGGGCCAGAGAGGGTTAAATTCCTCTGGAGAGGGTTGGCAGCCCACATGAAAGGCTGAGCTCCTCAGTGCTGCGATGGACTCCAAAGTGAAGTCAAAGTTTATTTGGATTGGATGGTATATGAACAAGTGAATCCATGCAGTGGTATCATGCACGGCAGCATCTGAGATATTTTCGACTGGCAATAACAAAATGTTAGCCAGGTTATTTGGGGTTCGGCTCGTTGCCTTTCCCCAGCGATACTCTAGGAATGCGAAGACCAAGTGAGAGCTATCTTGCACCTAGAAAACAGCAGTGCTGAGGAAGGGGCTAGCACTGAGGAATGGCTAAGCTAGACTCAGGAATATTTTAGCAACTGAATATTGTGTAGGTTGACTGTGCGGGACTTATCTTTTCTCCTTAGCTTTAGCTCCATGGAGAGCTGCCCATGGTTCATGGGCATGAGTGAGGACTGCCCATTGCCCCAGCTCACCTGTGATGGATGTAAGTGTTGGGAAGATGCTGGTCAAGTCTGTTGCTCTGTCAGTGCTCTGCATTTGACTGATCCCTACCTTCAGCAGTTCTTCCAAGTGGGAGGTTTGGTGCTTCTGTGAGGTGGCAGCTGGTTGCTCGACCTGGTCCCTATTGCCCTCCTTCATCTTTGTTACTGACCAAGAGCCAGTTCCTTCTCCAGCTTGTTCCCTAAATACCTGTATTGTTTCTGTGTTGTTCTCTGCCTTTTATGCTTTGTCATCTGGGAGCTTCCAGAAGCATCTTATTTCTGAGGTCTCTCTGTAGAGTGAACCCAGTTCACTGCTTGGTGAATAAAGGTGGTGCAGCCGGGGAGCATGTGCACCCTCGGAATAGTGCCTGAACGGCACGGGGTGACTGCGGCAGGTCTGGAGAACACCTGCTGTGCTGCAACAGGTCGGCTGGTCTCCAAAGTATGAAGATATTGCTGAGATAAGAGCTTTTGTCTGTGGCAAAGTCTTCAGTTGGGAGAAATCGCTCAGATGAAGGTTTGATTTTGCAATGAAAATAAATTTCATATTTGCACCTTTAATGAGGGCTTCACAGGTCTCTCTGCTCCAAAGCAAGATCCTAGCTAGTATTTTGAAAAGTGCCATTTGGGAAGGTGAGGGTGCCCCAGGACTATACTTGCTGCCTCTTGAGCTGCTCTCCAGGCTTCCCCAGGTGCCTGTGAGAGGTCAAACAGCCTGATGATTCTGGGCCACCAATGGCCATCCTGTCACTGCTGACTAATAAATCTGAATTTTGAGAAGTAGCATGTGGCTAAAATCTCTTGCGTGGAGGTCTCACCTCTCCTCATTAGCAATGCTAGGCTGGCAGTCATCAGTGGGTGCCTGAGTTCAGCACCCTAGGGTGGCCTTGCTGATAACTCAGCTCTCATGTCCTGTTAAGAGGACAATGCTCTGAGATCAGGCACAAGCGCTGCTCGCTAATCAGTAACATGAATTTGAGACATATCCACTAGGCATGGCTTAGATGTGCCAGTTCCTGTGTGTGGAAGGTGTGTCCAGAGGTCACCTTAGTGATGTTTCCATCTCTGCAGGACATAGTAGAGAGTTTACAGTAAACTGATGCTTCCAGTTTCCATCAAACTCTTGTCGTTCCTTGGTGTCTGAGATTGAGTTAGTTTTGAACCATGCTATGGAGGGAAAGAGAGAATGGGAAGGTTTCTGCCTAATCACCAGTTTCCTGGACTAATTAGCCATATCCTGGTGTTTTATCTTTGGTGTTTAAGCTGCTTGAAAAGCATTATACCAGCATGTTGGTTTATTAGGACATATCCATGGACACAGAGCTGCCTTTAGAGCAGACTGGATTCACATATGGTCAAAAGGCATTTGTGCCTTGCTAGAGCCATTGGAGAAGATGTCTGGCGAGTCATTTGAGAGCAGTGTGGGCAGCGTCAGGTCCTCAGTCCCGACTCTGAGGGCTGTTTGTGGTTTCATTTTCCCTTTTTCTGCTCCCCTTATTTTCCTCATCTGCATAACAGAGATCACTGCGTTCATTGCTTTTGCTCATTCCTCAGTGTTCGGAGTATCCGGACTTTTCGGATTTATCAGATGCTTTTAGAGCTGTAGATAGGAGTCCCAGCCGTTGTTGGTTGCAGCATGATTAGGAATTGCACAGGAATATCGGATGAGGGTACAAGTTCTCTGAGCAATGAGACAGGTCTGTTTTTAATCATTCATGCAGTTTTCACTGCCACAGGATCCTATGCTTCTGCACAGGATCTGTTGATGTTGCTGTAATGTCAATGACCTTTATTATTCTATTTTCTATGGGGCAAAGACCCATTCTCCCCTTTGCCACTGGGATTTATGCCAATGCTCTGGGAATGTGATTGAGCTTGGTTATTGAGTCAAACCTTGCTCAAGCAGTCAAACCTCTTGGGTCTCTCAGGCTGGGCTCTACACCCTGCTGGGCTGTCTGCCACCTTCACCTTGTCTCTGCAGGGGCCCACTTGGCGCTTTTTGTTTTTGCAAGAGCAATTTTGAGAAAAGGTTTGTCAGCATCAATGGACTTCCCTCTGTTCCAAGCAGGAAGTATGTGTTTGCCTACATATCACACTTGAAAAAAAAATGTAATAAAGTGCTGCTCCCTCTGAGCAGGGAACAGTTTGTACAAATGGAAGCAAAGAAAAATTTTTATGTATGTGTCTTGGTCTAGGTCAGTTCTAGAAATGTGTGCAAGCTCGAAGTAAGACCTGACTCCCATTTTTCTAACTCCTTTCTGTTCACGACAGACATCCCCTTTAATACCAGAAGCAGGCATGATATAATACGTATTTTAACTCTTACTGTGGCAGCACAGAGATTCGGATTAGCTTTTGGGAAACTGTCCCTGATGTCAGGGTCAGCCCAGAAGAACACCAAGCATTCGCAGCATCATGGAAGTGCATTTACCCTTAGTGTCTGTGGGGCGCAATTCCACTTGTTTATTTCCACGGAGCTCACCGGGTATAGTCAGAAGCAGACTCTTCTTCAAACCTTTGCTCAAATCCTGTGTCTTATCCATGGCTCCATTTCTTCTTCTGTAAAATTCAAGTAAAAAGTCCTTGCCGGAGCTGACAGTTGACTTTCTTGGCTTGCCTTTGAGGAGACCGGGCTGTGCACTATGAGATGGAGGATGCTGATGCAGGGATTGGGTTACAGCTCCATGGGTTTCTCTGCAGTTGCCCACTCTTTAGGTGCCTACAGTGTGACCAGCCCTCCCCTGCCACGTCCTTCACCGTAAGCCAGCGGCACTGAGTTAAGTGTCCTGGAGCACCAACACAGGAACTCCTTGAGGAGGCATCAGCTGCATTTACAGCAGCTATGGATCCACTGACTCCTAGCTTGTCCTACCCGCCGGGGCACAGGCTCTTCCCCAGGAGATCTGCTGCCTACAGGTCCTGCAGAGCACCTGGATCCTGCAGCCTTTCCCAGCTCTCTGGAAAGACAACTGGATGCAGCCGGCTGAGTGCCTGGGGTACCTCACAGGTGAATTTGTCCCTCATCTACCCTGCAAGGCGTATTGCAGACCTGTTAAAGTGACATCACCGTGAACCTGCACGCCAGAGCCTGCAAAGGTGGGAGAGGAATATCCAGCTACCAGGTTGTCTTTGTGGAAAAGATGACTCAGACATCTTATATAGGTGCTTCTTCCTCCACATTGCAGTGCTGCTGGTTTTAAATACTCGCTGAGCAAGCTATTGCTCCCTTGTAGCTCCTTGTGCTTTGCTTGCTGGCCAGGATAGGAATGGATTTCTCACAGGCAGTCAGGGCTCCTTCAAGACTTGGCTCCCACTTATTTAAGATTTACAAACCACTTATCTCACACTCAAGGTATGTCCAGGGGAAGCCTTGATGGGTTGAAACTATTAGGGAGCTATACTCACACAGGAGATAAGATCATACAACGGCTGCTACTGAGATAGAGGAGGCCAGTGACCTTTCTTTTCCTGAAACTAGCTGGCCTTAGCTATTTGTCAGCCTAAATGAAGTGATTCTGCTTTGTCTTTATTTCTCCTTCAACTTTAGGAATAGATATTCACTAGGAAGACCAGTGTACTGGCATATTCCAGCTTGGCATAGGCATATTCCAGCTTTTCCTGCCCTCCATTGAACAAATGGGCTTGCGTTGAGTTGTGGACTGGTCTGTGTGGTCAGAGACTGGCTGGGAACCTCCTTAGCCCTGGGGCCGGGTGAATTAAAGAAGCTCCTTAGTGCTTCTTGGTGCGATGTCACTGCATGAAGAAGGGACAGATAAGCCCGACACCCAAGCAAATTGGAGCTGCACTCAAATTTACTCCGTGACAGTTCGCTCCGTCATAGCAATCTGTGCTGCTCCGGTATGAAATGAATTTCAGTGAACAACATTAGCACAGTTCTAGGGGATGATCTTTAAAATGCATAAGGAAAGTATTCAGTGTTACCGCTACCCCGTCTTACTGTATGCCAACCACACGTAAAACCACATCTGTGGGTTAAAAATCTGCCACTAGGGAGGCCCCCTTTCTTGATTGTTTGT